GGTTTTGAGTTCTTGCCTATTTGCACCCTCTGCCTTCCAGGGGTAAAAGACTAGATTCCTAGTAGGAAACTCACCAAGGCTGTTTGTTTAGCAAAGTGGCAGAAAAAGCCAACACAGCTGTACGCAGTGAGATCACCACATTTACCTCACTGGGTTTGAATTCTCTTACTACAGTCACCTCCCTTCTGTGCAATATTTCTCCGAATAGAGTTCAACAATCAAGTCAGACTCAAAATTATTTGTAAGAGATCGAAAACGCTTTACCTATCCGCTTACAGATGATCATTTAAACAGGAACCTGTGGATTACACTATTAAATATATACATATTTCTATGTGTGTGGCTATTCCTCCTACAAGACTGCCCAGTCTAATGATCAGATTGATAAGAACCAGAGATTAAACTAAATATAGCGTGAACAAAAGTAACTCAACTCCTCTCCATCAACAGCATTTAAGGAGAGTGAACCACAGCATCAGTAACGAAGTTTCCAGTAATTAACCACTGGAAAACTCACCCAGAGTAGATTTTCAGGCCTTTAGTTTTTTAACTCAAAGCCGGATGATTCTCCAAGAGATATTCTTTTTATTAAGCCAGTGTTGTAAGCTGTAAACTGGAGCATGCCACATATGTATTTGGTAGCTGTAACTTCAGCTATAATAATAATGATCTCTCCTAGTCTTAATGTCTAGGATGAAGTGTATTTGACTTTATCACATCTCTTTTTAATACCAGCAATGCAAGTAAGGTTTTTCTTTAAAATTGTTGTTGACAGATTTTGGGAAACATCATAAAAAGACTGTATCTAAAAGCACCTAATATGCCATTAAATCATAGAACTCATTGCTAGTAAATAGCAAAATCGAGAGCCTAGCAAGCTTCAAAGTAAGATTGGACAGAAACACTTTTGTAAAATGCATATCTTAAGTTATCTGGACAGCTCATAAATGCTTCATCAGATGGTCTCATCAGCAAAACAGAGTGATCAAAAAAATTTTTTTTTAAACAAGTGATGTAAAGCATGTTCATTTGCTTTAGTGAGAAAGCATTCGTCTGCTCAGAAAATGCAGACCTAGTTTTGCAACACAGTAGCCATTGTCCAGGAAGCTATGGCTCAACTAGTTCACTTTCTGTCTGTACCTAATATTCCAAAAAGATGCAGCAAGACAGGCTAGCATGGACAGCATGACCTATAGGAAGCAGTCTGACTGTGTTTTCTTTTTTGCTAGTGAGTTGATGTATGGACCAACTTCTTGAACTTCTGATTTTTAGTCTATTTGATTTTTCCCAAATCAGCAGAAGCATTACAAAAAAGCCATTTATCTTGCATAGTAAATACGATGCAAATATCCAGCATATTTAGCAATATGCTAAAGCACAGTGCTTTCCACGTTGATGTTCACGTAACGATGCTTACATTAAAATGCAGACAATTACAAGCACAAGTTCTATTTGATAGCAAGAAAAGGACAGTGAGCATGAGAGGAAGTATTTATCGGAAAAGAGGAAACAAACAGTGAGAGAAACAGACAGCATACAAGCTAACTTAGAGTTCAAAGATCAAGGCTTAGAAATATTTCATTGGGATTAACTTTGTTTAGAGAAACATCAGTTTGAAAGCTATTCAATTTTAAATGTGAATGAATATTTTTATAAAGATTTTGTTCTAAAGTGCTGGTTTTGATTTTTTTTTTTTTAAATAGGAACACGAAAAGATTTTCTTACCTGAAAAAAAACCCAGTAACAATTAGAGGGCAGTATATTTACAGGTTATAGTTTCTTCTTCCTCTCTGCTCTACCTCTCATACTACTGGGTGCAATTTTAACACTAAAAAGAAGGAGAAAAGAGCTGAAAAAAAAACTTGAACAGTATCAGAAAGAACAGGCATTTCATCCATGAGGAGAATCAGCTACAGAAATTGTTGCCGTTTGACCTTTATATTTTAGGGGAAGGTATCGGAATATTTGAATTTTTAGCCAAGTTGCTAGCAATGAGCAAAGCTATACTCCATGCCACAGAATCAGAGGTAACAGCCGGCCAACAAAAAGAGGTCAATAATGGCAGAACAAACTGAAGCAAGATTTTTCTATAAAATTCCAAGAAGAAAGAAAGTATCATACAAGATGAGACAGAGAAGAGCAGGAAGAGTCAAATGTTGGCTGAGGACCACTTTCTCTGCATGAAAAGTAAACAGGAGTAAAATCTTTTCTGGAGGTGGGAGAACAGCTTCATGCCTAATGGAACTAAGCAACAAATTTTGACTGCATTATAAATCTGTCTAGATAGAACCTGAACACTAAATCTGAACAATATTTTTAAAGAGCTTCCGTATTTTTTTTTTCCCTAGGGCCAGATAAGTTCAAAGATAATTCTGAGTCTATTTCTCCTTCCTCCAGCACAATGTGAAAACTCGCTCTTAAGATTAGGACAGTGACCCAGCAAAGCTACAGGTGAAGGGCAAATATTTAGATGCAAATAATCCAGAAATATAATGTATACGGTCTTGGCAGCCTGTCACAGATCATCAAGTGCCACTTGTTACTAGCAGGTTGGTGGATATACATACATACATACATACATATATATATATATATATAAAAGAAAAGCTTTACTAGTCCAGGGAAAGTAATTGTTTAGCACATCTTTCCAGAAGCTTTCCAAATGGCCAAGACAAACGGACAGTTTGTGGGAGAATTTAAAGCAAGATAACCTGATTTTTCTAAGGGTTTTTAAATGGAATTTTTACTTATTAAAATTCAATAGCTAAGTATTTGTAATTCTCTCACATTTGTAGAGCATGTTTCTGAAGCTCCTGCAGTCAAATAGTTAAGCTAATTCCTGTATTTTATAAATATAATACATACACATACATAGACACAACCCTCCCATGAGGGTTTATTTCCTAAACTTTCAGAATTACTGTAATTTGACATGGCCAAGTCATCATTTAATACCTGATGTCCCCTTTTGGCTGCAAAACTCCAAGATATAAATTCTTTTTGCAGCTAAAACAATTAGAAAAAATAAAAATGTTAAAAGGAATAGTATACAAAAATGGATCACACATTTATAAATAAGCATAAATTGAAATTTGAACACCTAATTTATACTATTTTTTGCCTGTGATTGGCATGTAGCAAAGAAATGAGAAAGAAAAACAAGTGCAGAAAAAAAACCTAGAAGTCAGTAAATAGGAAAATGCCACCCAAGAGAACTGGAGAAATACGACTTAAATGTTTTACAATGCTATTTTTTTTCCCCAAGTTATTTCCCAAAACCTGGAATTGCAACCAGCATCATGTGGAAAGCCCAAAAGTTGGGTTCCAAAGAAATTGAAGTGTGAGCAACCCATCTCCAAAAGGGCCCTTCCTTTAAGTAGAGAAACCTGCCTGAAATACTTTTGCAGTTAGAAAAGTGTACCAGAAAAAATGACAGCAGCCCTTGATACCTTTCAAGGCAAAAAACAGTCCTTCTGAGGTTTACTACCAAACTAGTTACAGTGCCAGGGAAATCAAATCACATTTAACTCACTACATTGTATGACCACAATGGTGCTCCATCTCCACTTATTTTTCTTTTCTATAGATGGCAGGTAGGACTAGGTATTGAAGTCTTCATTAATGGGAAGATTGCATGTCCCCCACATCTTTGCTTTTGGAAGAAGTCATTTACAGTCTTCTGACTCTTGTAGCTAGCAGACTAGAGTGACTTTTTTCCTGACAATTCTTTATGCAACTAGGCATTACTATTATGATCCAGAAACCTCTTTAAGCTCATGATCAGTTAAAGATGAGGAACATTCTGACGTTCATCAAGTAACACGCTAAAAAACAGAGGAGATGCAGATTTACAAGTGATACATATTTTTAATTTTAAGTGTTCTCATGTCAGACTGAAAAGAAAATACAGCAACTGAAAAAAAAAAAAAAAGGGACCAACCAAGCTGGGAGCCAGGAGACTGCAATGAACAAGATGCAGTAGCTATTTTTACAACCATTCATATACCTGCTGCCCTTTTACCACAACAGAATACAACTCCTCATTTATTACAAGCTTATCAACCTAGAAGTGTTAAAACAGCATTTCAGAAAGTGGGCAGATCCATTCCCCAGCTCCCTTCAAATCTGCTTCACTGCTAGGAAGGTAAAATAAGCTAGCTACCCCTCTGACCCCACCTCACTTGGGCACATGGGCAATCACTGCTCAAGCCTCAGCCTTGCTGGGAAGGGGAGGAATGACCTTACTAAGCTTGAGCTACATCAGGCACAAGCTGGTGTTTGTATCAGCAGTCCCATTTCCTAACTAGCGCTACTGTCAGCAGCTTGACCTGTTTAGAACCTGCTTTTCTCCAGCACCTCAAATTTACAGAAAACTGTGCAACTTAGACCTAAGCCTCAGAGTTTGTCCCATTGATGGCTTGTACAGCCACTGTCTTGTTGCTCACTTACTCCATTACTCTACTTCCCTTCCCCTAAATATTTTCTTCCCCATGAAGCAGCACACTGGAAAGCAAACCAATATAATACATTTATGAGGGAGGACTTACTACCCCCAACAGGTGGCGATGATCTGAGCAGCAGCCTGAAGAGACAAGCAGGTGCAGAGAAGGCTGAAAGGCAGAAAGCCCATTTTGTCATTTCGTTCAGCCTGGAGTACCCTGACCCCCAGTATCTAATTCTGCTTACTGGATTATCTGTGCCTTAGTCTTAAAGATACAACACTTATCTTAAAAGTTATTGCCCACCTCTCAGATCACAGCAGTTGCACGTCTGCCATAAACAGCACAGACCAGATGCTAAAAAAAACCTATAGCAAGCCTCTGGCAGTGCAGAAAATGTAATCCAGAAATGCGTTTCTGCTGCCCTTTCTAAACTAAAGATTGATTTGAGAGGAACAGAAGTGAAAGAAGTGTGAATATCCTCATATAGAGGGATGCATTTTGTAGTGGTATTTTGAGCATAAGATTAACAATTGGGATCTTTATATCATAACCACTATGAACACTGAGGGTAACCACACCTGTGGTAACTTTATTTCACAAGATTAAAGATACAGTACAAAATGAATCTGTACATCTTTCTATTAACAGAATTTGTTTACACAATTATATTACATTTGACCAGCCTTTATACTGATTTTTTTAAATACAAAATAAATTTACAAAACTCCTACAACACCCTTTTAAGAACTGCAGCTGATAAAAACAAAGGGTTCCCCCCAATAGTCCCTATTTGCCATACGCATTTGCAGTAGTTCTCAAATCAAACTAAATCTTCTTAGTTCAATATTCTCTGGAACAAAAATAGAATTTCAGTTTGTTGCCTATCTAAAAAGGAAGTAATTTGCAAAGGTGAGTGTAATCCCCTGTAATAATCCTTTTATAGGCCCAACCTAGCATACAATAGGTGGAAACTAGATAATGCATAGTCTTAGAAGTCCTTTCACAGCCATGTTTTAATATTCTTCCCTAAAGAGAAGAACAACATCTGTTTCATGGATTTCTTTTTTTCTTGCAAGTTGATTCAAAGAACAGCTGATGCCTTACGGAAGAGAACTATAAAGCAAGTAAAACTGTCTCAAGAGTCTCACTGGGATATAATCAAAGGCCGTATCTTCCATTACACTGTCCTATGACGGACAATATAAAGAAAGGAAAAGCATTAACAGACTAAGCTCTGGGTCAAATTGCACCAGAGGAAAGAACTAGAATCCTGTTTTCACCAACAGTTCAATGTTATTTTTTCAAACTGCAAGAACAGCTGTTTTGTTTGAATAATAATTTGAGATGCTGTACAATGTTTTCCCCTCAAATCTTCATCTTTCCACTGTTTCTCTACATGCAGAGCTCCTATGGACAACAGTTACTACTCTCTTGTTCTGTGCTCCATGCAAGGAGAGAAGAGCACGTGCTTGGGTAGGCCAAACAGCAGGCTCTGGCCTATGTTACTACCAACAAAGAATACAGTTCTACCATTCAAAGCACACTGCACATTCATAGGAAGGCATCCCTTAAACAGCTTCCCCTCTAAACTACTCCTGCATATAAAGTATAAGACGATGTGTATGCTACCCAGCTCCCATAAGAAAAAGCTGTTTGATAAACACAAACATATTGCTGTAAGAGTTACATATGCTTCCCTCAAAACGCAAGTTTCAAATCGACTAGCAAGGGATTGTCAGAAAAACCTAAGTGATGTTCTAGACAACAGATTTAGAAAGTGTATTCATTTCTTTAATCCCTGAGTGAACTTGCTATTACTCATAGTAAGTACCTTTCTACTGCTACCACATTTCATTCAAATGAATGTCATCTGAAAAAGTTAAGTGGTAGGTAGCAATTTGGTGTGAAGGGAAAGAGCAGGAGGAGGATTTCCTTATTGCTTCTTCAAAAAGCAGTTCTTTAAAGTGAAACAACTTGCTGATCTTCAATTTTTTTCGCTGATTTCTTTGATGTAAAATGCAACAGTTCAGTGAAAAAGTCAGCTGTAAGACTCTCACATAGCAGCAGTGATCAAAGATTCTCACGCAGTCAGGATAGAGCTTTTAGAATTTAGTTATTGTAGATTAAACACAAGAAAAACAACTTTAAGTTGCAACAAAATTGTTAAACATCCTAAGAGACCAATACCAATGAACCAAAGGTAGTTACCTGGAAAATAGCTTCCATACAAGTAATTTATCATGCTGAGTGCAAAAGAACTATTAAGTGATAGAAGTAAAAATACTTCAGAGGAAGTGTTCAGAAGTCACAGATATCTCAGAAATGCAGCTGGAGAGCGCTGTACACTTTAGACACGATGTAAGTTCAATACTGTTCCATTTGCTAATGATGACTGGAACTGAAATATGATATTCCTCTACTGCATGCTGCATCCCTCTAAACTAAAATGAAAGATTTGTCTGCATATAACCAGCATAAGCACTTTGAAGTACTGAGAAGCTCTACCTATATTTTAATACTAGTCATCCATGACGTTTCCATTTCCAAAACAGCAGATTTCTTATCCTTGTTCCCAAACTACAGATACATTGCGCAATGGTCTCCTTATAAAGGCATGAAGTATAAAACCACACAGACGTCCCAATTCTACCGCATATTAATACATTGCTGCCAATCCACTGGAAAAAACTTGTGCATGAAAGGAAGCCTGTAACCATTTAAATGCAACAGATTTTGTCAGAAAACTGGTAAGACTTCCCCATTCCTATTTCATTCTGCTTTAAGACAGGATATTCAGAGGGTTTAACGCTAATACAGAAATATTTAACCACCATTGAACAGACAGGAACAGAAATATCTATTTCTTGCCCCACAAAGCTATTCTTCCTCCTGCCTCCCCCCCCCAAAATTATAGTTCAATGAAAAACAGTTACGAAGTCAAGACTCTCTTTGCAGTCTAAAACACCATCAATCCACAGGTCATTTCTTCACTCCCCTTGGAATGCCTCTGCACTGACCTGGTGATATATCAAGAGGCCACAGATGGTTAGTCTCCTGTCTCTTTGGATTTTCTTGTTACAAGGGACCCTCAGATGGCACAGCCAGGCAGAAATGTCATTCTGGCCCTCTAATATATGCCAAAGACAAGAGGTAGGCCATAGCCAGAGCACCGCTGTGATCTAGTACAGTTTTTTTTTTTTTTTAAAACTAGTCAGCCACACTTTGGAGTAGCATTACTGGCATAAGTCCATGCTGCTTTGTACTTGGGCATAAAACAGATGCCTGCATGAGATACCACATCCATTTCAACTGCACGAACACCTTCTTGCAGTGCAGGTCACTTACAGGATTGTTAAACTCAAGACTCAGCCTCTAAAAACAAACAAAAAAGTAAGGGCAGAAGTCTTCTCAGTGAGTCAGCTTTCTTCAATGTCCGCACTAGTGATTTCCGCAATTGAGACTCAGCCTCTTCATAAGTGTAAGATTAAAAGATTTAGGAACACTACCAACTTGTCCTTATTTCAAGAAGGATTGCAAGTTACACACAAGCTCCTAAAGTTTTAGAAAGGTTAAGAGAAGTCTGGGAACTGTGTGTACAGTCTTCAACCTACCAACCTTACAGACCCAATCTGTCCCAACCCACCTCCTAGGCCACATATTGACTGCGGACAACTGCTTACGCTAAGGTTAATGGAGGAAAATACTTAAAACAAAAGCACATAGGCAGAGTGACTTGTTTGCTGGCTTAGTTTTTACAGATTTTTATAAATAATCCATGTTAAACCATCCAAGACAACATAAAAACCCGAAATGTGAGAAACGCTAAGAAATAAAATAAGAACTGTAAGAATACTTGGGATGTAGATCTGAATATAAGTACATATTGCCCTAATCTTTTTTGACTTTGAACATATTTCAGCTTCTGGGACTTAAATTGGCCATAACATTTTCTTTTTTAAATAGGGCAGCTGCTACCAGGCAGACAAAACCTTCTAACATTAGTCTTCTGCTCTCTAGGAGATGAGAGGGACTTTGAATAAAGAGGAATAGATACAGCAGGCAATATTTTTGTAGTAGCACACTTGTGCTTCCACGAAAAAAAGCCATAGTGTTATTCCATTGGCACTGAAATAACATTCAAATCAGTTTCAAAAGTTTCTTATCCCTGAAAAAAGGCATCATTCTAAGCAGCTTTCAGACTTTTTTTGTTTACTTCTTTGCGCCTCTTTTTGGGGGAGAGACCATTAATCCAAAGTCCTAAATCAAAATGGAAAACGTTCCTGTTGGAAAAATCCAGTTCTTTCACTGAGGCTCGTGTTGCTACTGTGGTGGTTGATGCTCTGGTGGTGGTTCCTGTTGAGGCACAGCTGGCCGCAGTCCTGCTGGTCTGGGAATTGCCTGATGTTGCCTTTGTCTGTAAGCTATAACTGTCCCCAGAAGCAAGGCGATGATAGTCATAAGGTAAAGATCCCACTCAGGCCCCAGCAGCTGGTCCATGTCAATATGTGAGAATACTTCCCTGATCTAAGAAACAAGAAGTCCACACAATCACGTTAAAGAGCAAGAATGGGAAGTTACTTTGGTTTTAAATTTGACTTAAAACTTTTCATGTAGAAGTACCAATTTTAAGACTTCAGTAGCGCTTTTTCTCTCTGAAAAATAGGAGTTACCACAGTGACATCCTTAACTTCCAGGAATTAAGTGCCCTTATGAGCCATTCTCTGTAAGATGAGCTATTCTAAAGACAGAGGCCCTTGCTACATAGCTTTGTGACTTTCAGATACACAGCATTAAAGTATACAGATAATTTAAATCTGAATCGGGTATGCAACACCACTAGTTGTCTTGAAGAAGAGCAAGTAATACAGAGGCAGCGAACTAATCAGTCCAAAGTGGAAGCCATCAGCAGATGCCCATGAACAACAGAACATTAAACCCCAGGTTGTTTGCACAGTACAATGCTGAGAATCACCTAGATAAGGCATGCGCAAGTGACCAGCCAAAGTGACTTACTGTTAGTTTTGACTGACCTGCTTTTATATCGGACTCTAATTTGCCTAAGCACTAGTCAATGCACACTTGATGCACACTGACCTTCGTATACAGAGACATTGTCAATTTTGTCCGCATTAGAAGTCTTTAAATTTGGAATATCAGTGTTCTGCATAATAGGTTCTGTTAGTGCATATCGATATTTGCTCAATTGGTTTAGAATATTTGATTTTCCCCTCCAGAAAAACCTTAGTCCTAGACTGAGTGTTGTCATTCTTAGCCGGATTGTGTGAACTCCGGTTTGCTGTAAGTAGGAATAGCTTCCCTACCATTTGAATTTATCAAGTAACCCAAAAAGGCAGTAAGATACCAGAATATTGATTATTTCAGACCCTACACAGAGAAGTCATCTAAGAATTTAGCCAAGTATTTTGGTGCCATGATTCAGCACCGACTCTGAACAGTCTAATGCATGTCATCTTTTCATAGAAATCAAACTAGACTCAGAGGGGATTGTTAGACAGTATAAAATCAGGGCTACAAAAAAGCACTTATTTTTTCTTAAGCAATGATCATGTCGTTTGAATTATCTGTTTAACTCTGGTAACAGGTGCTCATGGATAAGAACAGTCAAACAGGCCAGGAAAATTCTCTTCAAGGGAAAAATTGTGCAAGCATGTTGGCTGGGCCAGTTTCATACAATCACAAAAATAAGTAATTTTTGTGGTTTCAGTAATTTTCTTAAGAGACAACAGTGCAAAAGCCATGTATCACAAGTCTTCAGAAGGCTCGAAGATTTCTATTTTTAAATAAGTTGAGTAGTGAACACTATCTTTTTTTCTTTTTTAAATTCTGCATTACTTACATTGATTTCTCGTACATACTGCAAGGAATAGATCACTCCAAGCTTGCAAAGTGCGAGGAAGACAGGAACCTGAGCATCTGGGCTTGCTTCAGCAGCCATGTCATAGAACCGTTTTGCAAGGTGAATATCCTATGGTTAAGATGATATAAAACTCAATTTTGAAAGAAACAGAAAAGGTCACCATAAAAACTAGAGCTTTTTCTATTTTATATTGTCACTTAGAAATAGGATGTGTTGATTGCATTAACAACGAACATTTAATAAGAATTTCCCCTTTTTCTCTGAGAGATGTTGATCTCTGAAGAGAAAAGTAAAGGGAAGCTTTTATCTGAAGATGAAGCTATCATTACTGAAATTGAAGACCATAAAGAGACTAGTATTAATATAGTCAAGCCATACACTGCAAACTATAGAGTACAGATTTAGACAGTAATCACACTACATCTCCAATGCCACACTAAACGTAAAAAGACTGAGAAATCATGCAGGAGGAAATACCTGCTTATCCTCTCAATTATACTAGAGGATACCTGTTGTATATAGCCTACAATTTCTAGCGATTTCTGCACACACTCCCAAATTTGGCATAATCTTTACCCAAACTGACCTAACTTGCAGTAGTGAGGACAGCTTGGCAAAAGTATGAGCACAAATGGTTAGCAACTTTAGCATGAGCTTGTATTAGTGTTCTCTACTGTAGAATTAGGATAAGAAGGTGACTGTAGGGAGAAGAAGGGACAGCATGTAATTAAAAAGCTTAACTTTCCTTTTTTGGCTCTGCTTCATGCACATGCAGCAAAATTAGGACGCTTAGATACAGGTTGCCTATGTTCACTTGGACTGAAGTGGAGGATAGCATAAAACTTACCTCTAAGTACTCACAGTCAGATATTAAAGAAAACTCCAGGGTTTCATGAAACATTTTAATTCTAGAATTTTATCCTAACTGTGGAATACCTTCATCATTTTCTGTTCACTGATATAGCAAAGCTTAGTGTCATAGCAAGTGAAGATAATAATATGAAAAGATATACATAAGTGTGTATCAACTAGCTCACACACTTCAACATTTCACTTCAGAACAACTCTGAAAAGGAACTGTTTTAAGTCTGCCTTTTGAAGAAACTGTTTATCTCCCTTGTACTGTGTTAAGATCAGTACAGAGGCAGATTCTAATCATAATTTGCTTTCGTTTCTTATTAGCATTAGTATTCTGCTTACACATTCTTCATTCTCACTTGATAGATGAGCGAGAACTGAAGCTCATGAACTTTAATACACATGAAGAACTGAAGTACCATGCCAAGCCTTGAGAAGTCAATGAAAGTTAAATTGTTATTTTGAACAGGCTGTTCATACACAGAAACAATATTCATTCTTTGATAAGGCAGACTCAGAAGCTGGACTACGTAAGTCAATGAAAAGCAAGTGTATAACAGTTTACATAGGAAATTTCTGAAGGGGTTTAATATTTAGAACTGGTATGAAAACCACTTAGGTATATTAAATAAGACATGGAAACCTATATGTAACAAGAAAAAGCATTCACTCAATAAGTAAATATTGAATAAAGTAAAGGCTGTACAGGGATAACAGTAAGGAATACTGTAGTCATCCAGGATTATTCGGGATGAACAGCGACCTGAATTGAAGCTGTACAGGCCACGTTATTGATCATTTTCTCTAACTCTAGAGTGCTTGCAATTTTATAATGTGGACATAGGTAGGCAAGAGACTAGAAGGGCGTACAACCCTTTCTTCAATAGGGTCAATCCCCATTTGTTAGATGCTATCATATTGTACTCTGCCTCTTCCGCAGAACTCCGGTGGAAGAACAGACTTCAGTGGTAAATATCCACTACGTGAAGTACAACTTCAACTGCCAGTTATTTTCAGAAATAAACAAAATTCAGCAGTTTCCATGCTAGGAATGTAAGCCAAATATTCTTTTGCTTCATTCAAAAAATCAATCTTTGTCTTTTCCAGAGTATCTAGCTTCACTGTCTCATTTTAGTCTTTTACCTAGTCAGTACTCATCACCATTCTCTGTTAACTTAGTCCTAATCTTTTTGGAGAAAGCAAGCAAAGAACTTGCATATCCAGAACTTCTAGACTGGTTTCATACACTGAATTTCCTTGCCTAGACATTCTGAGAGCCTGCCTCCTGCATCCATATTCAATGTCTCAATTTCCCATGTAGCCCAATTCTTCCTTTTCTAATGATCTTTATGAAAGGATTATTCAGCTCGATAGAGCAAGGCTGCTTTTGGTCATCTGAGCGAATGAGATCTCCTCTGCACTCATTTCAGATGTCTAGGTGCAGCCATCTTCAGGTTAGAGAACGCTCAGTGCAAATGATAGCATCAGGACTCATTTTTCTCAAGTTCTTGGCAGTTAATTTGAGCAAGATGTAACATTTTCCAGCTGTTTTTAATCACTAAGTTAGCTTGTTTCCAATTCAGAAGCAAAAGGAACACTCTTGTAGTCTGTGCTCAAAGCATGAAGTTAGATTTTCTTAAAAAAAGAACCCCTAACTTTAGCGCTGTCACCTTCAGCTGCAGCCTCATTTACAGAAGAGCTGGCTAACTGTTTTTAGTTACAAGTTTGAAGTAAATATAGAGTCAACAGCAATTTTCCCAGTGTTGAGGACTCAGTTTTGCAAAGAAAACAATTCTAAATAAAATCTGAAAATAGGCTGAGAAATAATGCTTCTTGCATACTGTACTGCCACCTCTGCAACTGGGTCACTAAGTTCTCAAATACTGATCGCTTGCTACTGCCACAGTAACAAGACAGACCTAAGACCCGCCCTATACCGTTCTAACTTTTTGCCAAGAAAACTTGGTTTTTTAATAGACCAAAAGAATAGAGAAATGTGTACCTAGACAAAACCAAGTGTTAAGGCTCAATAAAAAGGAAAAAGTCAAACTGTTTCTTACAGCACCAGCTAACCCAGGAGATATTACTCAATTCATTAATTGTAGAGATTAATCATTAAGGTGATGTAGGTTGCTCAAAATTAGCATACGAGTACAAATGATATTATTTTGACACATACAGGAGCATGATACTCAGGGTTTACAGGATTCTACAAATCTTGCTGTTCACTGCTGTGCAAGAATTAAGTTTCCTACGGTAACCAGATATACTGCCTTGTTTTAGGGGGTGTAGTTTGTAAAGCACATTGCAGTCTAGTCTAACTTGACAAACCATAGCTAACAATCACATTGTCATTAGTGCATCTGACTTGTCTAAACTTAAAGACACACAGAACTAAGATGTTTTCAAGACATTTTGATGTAGAAAACTAATTAACTTGAGTTTCAGAGCATGAGAACAATCTTGTGCTAAAATATGTTGACTTTGGAATTGATTTGTATTCATTCTGTTACACTTCAGAGCCTTGAAAGTACCACTCAAGGATATTTTAAGTCTATGGTTTTTTTGCCAGTCATCACAATTTCAGATAATTTTTTCCCTGTCTATGCTTCATTTCTTCACATATAGAAGTGTGAAGTAGATATACTTATCAATACTTATCCCAGAGAACACACAGAGAGAAGCTAATCTCTGTTAAGTATTTATATAGTACCCAAAGCTCAATACTGGTTAGGGCCTTTGTCAAGCATTAATAAATGCCCTTTTATTTCAGTGAGCCACACTATCAGCCTACAGTTTACTCACCTGCTTGATGCCCAGTCCCTTCTCATGCATGTAACCCAGATTAAACATTGCTTGAGCACTGTGCTGCTGCTCTGACGCCAGTCGATAGTGAATAAATGCAGTTTCATAATCAACATCGGTGCCAAAACCATAAAAATGGTAATCTCCAAGTTTAATTCTTGCAACAGTATATCCTATAAATAAAGAAACAGTAAAAAACAAACCCAAACAACTTCCCCCCCAAAACCCCAGAGATGCAAAGTCTTTAATTTCACAGGAAGATGCTTTAAGAAGGACTTTTGAAAAAGGTATTCCTTTCCAGTTGCACAGATCATTTCCTTCACCCCCCCCCGCCATGTAAACAGCTTTTTCCAGAAATCATTGGATTTATTAACCACATTTATTAACCAGAACCAATTGATTTCTATTTTTCAGCAAAGTAATAAAGAGAAGGGTCACATAATCCCAGCAATCTTTGCAATATTCCTATTAATATTCAGCATTATCAGTTGAAAAAGCTAAATGATGTTGTTCCTAGTCACTTACTCAGGGAAAAAATCCTTCATTGATTATACTTTCACGTAGTACTAAAACTATACAACAGCGCTATAGCATTACTATACTTAAAGCCCTTAATAATGAGGGCTACTAACTTTGTTTTTTTAAATGGAGATATTGAAGATTTGAAAGGTAGTCTCTGATAATCATTTGGTAATGGTATACTTCACCATCCCACCATTTTAATTTCTGACTTTCTGGTAAAAGCCAATAATACTGTAGGTCTACAGACTTTTGGACAAACCCTTAAGCTCCATTTGCATGATACGCTTGCTCCTCAAAAACAGTTAATAGGCAGACACTGATGTAGCTGCATACACATGTGTGAAAGTTAAACTTCACACAGATGTTTAACAATAAAGTTCAGCTTCGCTTATTTTAATAATAGGGTCATATGCACCAGTGCATAAACTCTGGTTCACTGGATATCAAGACTGCATTCTTGATCACTGAGCTTTGCTTGGAGTAGGAGACTATATTTCTTAATTGATCACAAGAACTAAAACCTCAAAGGTATTTACAGTCATTTTTCAGAGTGGACCTATTCTTAGAAAAGTCAGTTTCAGTATCCATTCATCATAATACTGCTCAATACTATTCTATAATTCCCCATGGAATAGCAAAAGAAATACAATGTATATACACCAGATCTACACACTTGTGCTTCCTTTTATTCTTTAGCGCCTCAGAACTCAAAGTATACTGCAATGACAACTACCAGTGGAATGAAGAATGGGAACCAACCTACGCAGAATATAGCTAATGCTGAAAAGAAACAGATAAGCTTCCTCTCCTTCCCCGTTTCATAAAAAATGGGAAATTAAACATTAGTGGCGCTACTAAAATAACTTAATTGGAATTGTTGAGTATAATATAGATTTTAGTTTATGAAAACTTGAAGCCTGCAGAGTATGTATTTGTGTGGGATTACTGGGAATTCCTATCCACAATGAAGGAGACTATGAACAAGACATGGACAGGTAGATTTGGAACTGGTCACTTAAATATTTTGTCTAGTTTGCAGTGTGAAAACTTGCTCACATGCTGCTTAAGGATTGGCAGCATGTGAGCAATCTAAGGATTAGACTCTGCTTAACCACACTACTTGTACCAGCTAGATACAAGACAATATACTGTTCTGGGAAACTAAATCTTATTCCAAGATGAGAAAACAAACCTACAAGATTAGTAACAATAAATAGATGATATCTATCACTGAGTACCCTTCAGCCTAGCTAGCAAGCAGACAGGAGACCTACCTTGAGAAGCTGCTCTATTCCAGTGAAGCAAGGCTCGAGGATAGGTTTCATTTTCTCCTACTATGCTAGCTTCTTCTAGAGAAGAAAGAAAATTCAGTTAAGAATGAACACAGTATGTACATACAAGTCAACAGAAGGCCACACAAAAAGTTTATATTCACAATCTGCTATAATGAATTAAAACTGAAATCTGTTACAGCAAAATTAAGATTCAGCCTGTCTAAAACTAACAAAACTTTCATTTATATGCCTTTTCTATATTTCTGACCCACATAGGGCTACGAACAGCAAACTATTTCATTGCACTCCTTCCCCTGAAATATTTCTAGATTTTGAGCAATTTAAAGCAGCCTTCATGTTGGCTGTTACACCTTGCTAGGATTTACAATGATTGCCAGTTCAGTGCCTTGATCGGGAAAGTGTAAGTAATTTATAGCCATTCTTCCTTTCCAAGTTCTATGGTAAGCAGTACAGCTCCTTCTGTAGATTCAGTATCCTATACTCAGCAAGGACTTTAACCTTCTGATAAAGACTGTTAAGATTCACCTGCATAATCTGAACAACCATATTCACCACTTCGGGGAGCACCAGGAAGTTCTGTTCTATAGAGGTATGCTTTGTTATAGAGCTCCAGAAAGTATTTACTCTTGAGTTCTTTGGAGTCTCCATATACAGTCCACTAGCTTATAAGCGTGGATATCTAAAATCATTAATGCTTAAAATCAAAAGGAACCCATCCCTCAACTAATTTTCTTCAGAAAATTGCACTAGCAGGCAATGTCCATCCTGTGCTTGTGAGTGTCCAGACCTCTCTATGCTTTAAAGGCTTGAGTTACTTCATATAAAAATGCTAGCCTGCTACCAGTTTTACTGGGTAGAAAAAGAACTGTTTCTTCTAGTAGATCAGAAATTAAGTATGATGTGACAAAACTTGAACCTTTTATTTTGAAGAAAAAATACTCTTTATTAACAGAGGTTGAGTAGCATATAGTCCCCATCTTTACAGGGGTTAGATTTTTTTAGTATTTTAATTGTGAAAAAATACATCATAAAGCTCAGTATTAAAAACTCCCTCATAACACAGTCTCACTTCTTTAAGAACTGATGTAATCTTACAGGCATCTCACCCTTTCCCACTTCAGGAGATTCTGAAACATACTTGAGGAATGCCAGAAGATGCAATTCTCAAGAGTACAAAGGTCAGTCTCTGGCAAAGGTGCACCCAAGATACAATGCTAAGGTACACACTCTGGTCTGGTCATCCAGAAAGCAAGACTCGTCAAAATGATAGCTTAAAATTCCTAACCAGCTAGACTGCATGTTTTATACAGCAGTGCTATAGCTACTTCAGAATAGAACTTTTCTTACTTGTTTGAAGGTTGCTGAAATATCATCAAGACCAGATAGCTCAAGAAATTTATAACTTTTTAGTATAACTATGGCTTCACCCATACTACCTACAGTAAACATACAGACATGCTATATAAAGTGTATAAAATAGTTTTAAACTAACTGCCAGTGGAGAGGTAGATACAACAGAGTAACGACAACTGAAACTTGAAACCAGAGATGATGCTAAATATCTCTGCAGGCATGCCATCACAGCAAAGGCTGATGTCATTGCTGTAGCTTTTTCTAAATAAGAGTCACTAAAGCACCTTTGAAAAACATTAATTCGAAACTAAGACATTAGATTAGCCTACTGAACACAGATACTTGGATTTTTATATCAAGATATAAAGCTCTAAGCTACTAAATCAGAGATCCAGACAATTTAAAATACTAGTTTTTGTAGCTTCTGGAAAGGATTTGTTACTTGTACTTCCATTGTTTGACCCCAAACTTTAACACACCTTAAACCTAGACACTTAGTTTTATTGAAAGAGAATGATCTGTTTTACTTGGAAAAATTTAACCAACTGCCTGGCTCTTTATCTATTTCAATTGTAGAACAAGCTAAAAAAAGAAACACTGAGAAAAGCCGTTACAAAATACAGAACAAAGGAAAGTGAAGCTTGTGCGCATATCAAAGAACAACAGTGAAACTAATATTACTATATTGATTTAAAATGAAAATGCAAAAACTGTTTAGAAAGTCTGAGGAAGAGAAACTCCAGCACTGTACAAACATCTAAAGCATTCTCACTATTCCATATTTTTAAATCCCAGAAGTGAGAATTTAAATATACTCTATCTTTTAGACTAGAATGTTATCCTTAAAGGTAAAGGGAAAAGTAACTGCTTTCCAGTGTGAAGAGAAGGAAGGGGGATAAAGCCTCACTTAAAGGTACAAGCTTACAAAAGCTATTTAAATATTAAAACGCATTTCCAGGCACTCTGTAGTTCCGCTAAACAGACTACTGCGGACCAGCTCTAAAACCTTTTGATACTGGAGTCCTTACTCTGATCAAGTATGAAAGCAGCGTTGCTTTGTGCAACTTCATAGCCTTGTTCTGCCAAAAGAAGATATTGAACCACAGCAGAATTTGAATCACCATCTTTATAGCTGTTGTAGGCAGTCATAAGTCTTTCAGACCAACGGCCTCGCTCGCATACATTCTTAAACAACTGCAGAGAAAAAACACAGGGAAAATGGCTGTCAGGAACTTCAGAAATTCAGATTTTGCAGGAGGTACATCTTTAATAGATATTAAGGTATTCAACATTTCAAAGGCAAAGCTGGAGAGAGAACCTCAGTGCTTATGACACAGCTTCCTAAGCAAAAGCAATACAATGCAAGTGGTAGAAGTTCGTCATGGATACAGCTGCATCGATAATGTTAACAGCAAAAAACAAAACCAGTCCTTCTTCCTCATAAGGCCTTCCTACAGGCAGAAAGGACTGTCCTTATAAGGGAAGGCTTACAGCTTTGTCATATATAAACTGCTAGAAACCAACAATTTCTATCCTGAAGTCAGAGCCTCAAAATTTGCTGAATAGCTGCTTGGAGAATACAAAAGTGTCCATGACAAACTATATGGGAAAAGTGGCAGTTACATCACTGAGGGCTCTCATGTCTTTAAGATGCATTTCCAAGACTCCAACTATTTATATTTTCATAAATTTAATTCTTTGAATTCCACAACAAGACTCAGATGCTCACTCAGAACCATACTTGATATGAGCTTTTCAGAAGCTTACTATTTGTCAGTTCAAATGTTATACTTAATCTTGTCTAAATGAAGAATTCAGGACTCAAAATACTGATAACTTGCTTTATATTACTACTTCTAAGTTTTGAAAACAAAATTACTAGTTTGCTGTATCAGAGTACCATAAAATTTAAAGATTTTCCTCATGAAATACAAAAGAGTTTGATATATTACTTTTCCTTACAATAGCCTTGATTCTGCAGTGAGCAATGGATATATGCTAAAAAAACTGTCTACATAAGCAGACACTTCATACAACCTTTGGAAGTTAGCATTTATGTGACCTTTATAAAAAGATGCCCTTACCTCAACAGCAGTATGACAGGATCGCATCACTCCAGTGCCAGTAGCATGCATCTGAGCCAGATTATAAAAAGCCAGGATGTGGCCACCCTGGGAGGCCAAATTAAAATATTTTAAAGCTTGTTTATAGTCCCTCTTGACTCCAATACCATCTAAAAGAAAGAAGGAGTCAATGCTATTGATTCCTCCTAAAAAGGAGAGCTGTATGAAATACAGTATGCACTTAGTCTTTAAAAATTAAGAATGAAAGGCAACATTACGCAAATATTATGAAAAAAGAAAACAAAAATGAATGCAATACAGTAACACCACTTTACATGCAGTTAAGTACAAGCACGTCTACTCTTCTAATGCCACCTAGTGAATGATTAGTGACAGGGCAGATGTTTAGAGTCCCAACAAGCAATCTTTTTGATGCCACTTACTGTAATACATCGAACCTAGTTGAAGCTGTCCATCAACCCATCCTTGTTCTGCAGCCTTCTGGAAATACTTCAGCGCTAGCTCATAGTTCTGTAGGAATATTGGGTCCAGTCATTAGAGCCTTGCAACGCACCATAATTTAAATAAAGACCATGTGCGCAAACGTGTGGGTAGACCTCTTGTATTATCAAAGAATTACAGCAAGATGTTCTATTGTGAAAATAGAACAGTTCAGAAACAGAAAATGGAACAGCTACACACTCAGGAAATGTTAATATCATTGCGGCCTACCTGAAAGCTGGCATTCACATATAGCATTGCTATGAGTTGTTATGCTTAGCTGAAAGGATGCCCTTTTCTAAGAAAAAATAGCTCTAACTTATTTCCTCAACTTTCAGTTAATTCAGCTTTTTGAAAAACTATTTGCATAGCTAAATACAAAACATTTGATAAAGAAACTGTTCATGTGGGGAAAAACAAGGTGAATGAACTAAAGTCCTCCAGTACTCTTGCTTGTATCAAGAGACATGCAAAATTGGAGCAGTTCAGGTTTTTGTCTTATTTCACAAGACAATTAAAGCTAAGTTCAAACCTACTGCTGAAAATTCACTTGGCTCTACTTTAACAGCTTCAGTGATGTTTTCAGCATGTACGTTTCACGCTTTTAAACGTAAAATAAGTCTTCACAAATAATTCTTCTATAGCACTTCCCTCCAGAAAGGGCATTTGTTGACAACAAGTTACACAATCACCCAGGATTAGAAAGATGACTGCCAAAAGCTTACCACCGGAACACCTCTTCCATAGAGGTAAGCCATTCCTAATCCACTCTGTCCAACTGGATTACCCTGAAAACACAGGAGAACACTTCTGGAAAGAAAGGCAAAACCTATGGCTGTATGTTTCCATCTTAGTACATCTTTAACATCACTAAAAAAAATTATTGCTTAAGACAGAATTGTTTTGTATCATTGCTCCTATTAAGTAATAGCTATTTAGGCAGAAAAGAGCAATTGGTAATTCTTATTTAGTAACCACACAGCTGATTTTAATGGGAAAGCAACATACAATAGTAATTATAATCACTGTGCATTTTCAAAGTGTTGCACAGGATGTACAATCTGGAAAGGCAGGGGCATTAATACTTATTTCATCCTCAGTTTTTTCAAGCTTGATTTGTTCTGGATGTTACAGAAGCTCCCAAAACAACTAAGGCAGCTCTGAGATTCTGTCTTAAATTCAGGCCAGACAAGGCTGTCCTGCATGCTGCATTACTGACCAGTGCCTCTGCAGCAGTAAATAATGCTATGGTATTCCTTCAGCACCAAGGCAGGCAATAGTGCACACCAGAAATGTTTACGGAAAACACAAAGTCAGCAAACAGCAAGAGGCATAAAGCAGCAAACTAACTGTGGACTGCAGAAGGCATGAAGACAGTATCTTCTTATAACAGTCCCTTCAACACTTCGTTTACTGTTACACATGTGCACCATCTTTCCTCGAGAACTAGTTATGCTTTAACTCTACAAATGCTACTATAAGGGTAAGGTGGAAGAAAGGAGGGATAACACCCAAAGAACAAATGCCCCGGTTAGATAAGAGGTATGAGAACAAAAACATTATCTACTCCCTGACTAGGGAGCAGAACCAAGCTAACACAGTATCAGTGCATCTTACATCACCATGGCAGGGGAATTTAGGAGAATTTGAAAATTAACAAAATTGCAGAGAAAATTCAAGTGGACAGTATTTCGTACTTTGTCAGCATTCACGAGTTAGACTCCTTGTGTTATGCAGTTTCATTAAGCACTGTGACTACAACTGCAGGCAATTTCAGACATTCTAGACAAGCAGGATTTAATTATGGGCTTACCTGACCTAGAAGTTAGGGGTAGGTGCATGTGCAAAGCCAACAAAAAGGCATCTGTAACAAACCTGAGCTAATGAACCATTTCAGTGCATATGCTGTAAGTATTCCTAGCTTACAGATAATCATACCATATCAGCAGCTTTCTTGAAATACTGAAGAGCTGTTTCATTGCTTTGAGGTACAATATCACTTCCTTCTGAGTACATCTGAAAAAGAAAGGTATTATTAACAATTGAAAAAGTCAATTTAGGTTACAGGTCACGAAGCACTTTAACTTCACATATCAGGAAATCTGTTACATTACTAGCCCTATTCTTATTCTAGTATAGAATGATCATTATAGAACTAGTCCAGAAGCAGGAAACATGTCTCTATGCTGTAACTGTCAGACTTGGAAGGTTTACCTTTCCAATGCAGAATGATCTGCCCATAAAATTAAAAAGGTTAGGTGACATCTTTCATGTTTGTTCAGCTTATACCTATGTGCAGTAAAGAACACAACCAGGTAGACAGTCCTGTGATATCAGTGTAAGCCAGATTATATTAGCTGTTAAAATACTTTTGGAAAACAAAGCAAAATTGGATACTAGACCCTGTTCCTAACACCATTCAGCATTTATTAGATATAAAATATGCTAGCAGTTCAGAAAACAGGAACCTGTAACTTCTCATGGCAAAGCCAATGCCTTGACCAGCACACTATGCTCTTCTCTCATGCTCTAAGCACATGAATTCTACTTCTCCTACTGTACAGACAGCATTAAAAAGAAGAGCCAGAGCTGCTCCTTACTGCAGCCTAATCCTAGAGGGTATTCACATTCAATAAGGATTTAATTCCCACAGGGTAAAGGTTCAGCTCTCAGGTAGGTAGCCTAAATACCCTTAAGGGTAAAACAGCATCACTATGTAGCAGTTTGTCAGTCACATCTTAGATAAAAAAAGGACATAAATCTGAGAAAATTGATATAAAGGCCACCTTGCAGAAAGACTCACGTTTTGAATTAGACGCAAAATTATTGGCAGCTCTGACTCAGATGCATCATCTCTCTAGATAAGGTAAGAATTTGCATTTCCTGTTTCTTCCTGCACTTACCATTTCCCACTAGCCAAAATTCTGAGAAAGCTAGTTTTTAACCATACATTGCATTGAAAAGTGTAGTGGCCAAATCTGAATTTTGAACTCTACCATAGAAACAGGGCACTACGGTAGTGAATCATTTCATTTCTATGCATCTAGTGCAGGCACTGTTTCAGAACACATCTTCCTAAGGGAGAAGAGAGCAACAAGTATAATAAACTACAATGCTCAAATCTTGTAAGTCAATATAAAACACTAGCGAAACCAAGCACTTAGCTTCCACCATTCAAGTTTAAGATTTGTTGAGATCAGAAAGTAGGAAGTTATTACTTTCCACTGAAATACAGCCTTTCTTTACTTTTCAGGGTGCTCTTATCTTACCTTTCCTAGAAAGGCCATGGCATGAGAGTTTCCAGCATTAGCTGCTTGATTGAAGTACTCAAATGCTCGCTGTAAGGAGGAAAACAAGTATTTTGGCAACCTTGACATGATTTGAGTACTTTTTCTTGCAAATAGAACAAAGATCAGTAGATAGTTTGCCAAACTACCAGGTTCTGCACAGAACAGACAAGAGTTATCAATCCCACCCAATTTAAGGTATGTAACACACAGTTTCCCACATATAACTTTAACAGTGAGCAGTAAACCCTCTTGAAGGTATTCCAAAAGGCAGAGGAAAAAAAATACAGCTGCTACTGTGCACGAGCTGCACAGGTGAAACTTACTGCCTTTTTCTTCCTCCAAATTCTGTACAGGAAAACAGAGATCTGGAAGGTTCTGCTTGGATTTTACATGGAGCTTTGGCTATAGGCAGCCTGACAACTTAGTTCTCTGAACCATTATTCAGCAGTCACTAAAGCATTTCAAGATGATGGCCATTAAATCGTTCCTGGTTGGTAGCTGAGTCTGAAATAATTATCAGGATCACACATCCTCAGCTTTTTTTTTTTTTCTTCTCAACAAAGACTTTAAGAAAATATTACTGTAACTTCTGTAATAGAAGCTATCTTGGCTTGCATCAGCAGAAATTTTATTTTCTATGAACACTTAATACTCATAGGACTGAAAGTCACACTGTTTTGGCTATGGAAGCACAATCTTCTTGCGAATCGTATGACCTAGAATATCATTTTTAATGCATGTATAGTGTACCAAGAAGATCCTACTACACAGGCAAAAGCAAAGCCAGTTTCAAATACCACTTGAGGAAAATTTGGTTTTTGTTTTTGACTTAATTGTCTTAGAAATGAATTAAGCTAATTGCATAAGAAAGAAAGTCTGTTCCATGCATTAATCAGAAAAGTACACACACATTTAAGCTTCATTCAGTGAAACTGTTGAAGTCACACGAAACACACTGCGGTCCTTCTTAAACCTAAGTCTGCTTCTTTGTGGTCTTAGCTATTATTTTGTCTTCAAATGCCTCCTCCCCACTCCCTCCAAGTGTAACATGCATCCGTGATATACCTGGGTACATCACAGGGTATATTGCAGGGAAAGGATACCTGGTGATTTTGCTCTACTCCTCTTCCTCCATGTAAGTGCAACTGTCCAAGACCAACCTAAAAATTAAGTTTAAAGTGAAAGTCACTTTTCCCTGGGGATTTTATTTTTCTGGAAATATAGATACCAGTGAGCAATTTACCTTCACAAGGAGGGACCATAAGAGTCAAAGATGCCACAAAGCAAGCCTGAAGGCATAGACTTGTTTCAGTAACTACCACACAGTCCTATTTTTCATATTAGTCTACACTGAAGCGGAAATTCATCCCAGATAAACTAGTGACTGTCCTAGATATAAAATAATGATTGTCCAATTGTATCCTGCCTACCCAATTCTCAAATCATATCTGACCAAGTTCAATTGTGGCAATTTGCCTAAGGCCCAAATTAGTCTCCTCCTCTTCTTCCGGGCTGCGTGTAGAAGAGGTCCCACTTGCAGCATGCAGAAGCCAGGTAAAACACAAGTAATGAGAAACTGAGGTCCTCTGGCAGGGTCAGCTCTTTTGATCAAGGCTTCTGTCACAACATCCAAAGCTATCCTTAAACTAGTCTGGCTGGTTTCTAATGAATGCTAAGATGCAAAATCTTTCCCAAGACATAAAGTTCTAACTTTTTGCACTCATTTTGCACAAAAACTTTATTTTCTCTCTAAGTTCTACTTAAAACACATTAAAATATAAGCCTCTTCTCATAAAAAAGAATTAGGAAATACGTGACTAGATCTAGCAGTCCGGTTGATTTAGGAGGAAGAGAAAACTAAAGCTTTAAGGTCTTTACATATTACATAAAGCTGCTGCTGTAATTCCTGAAGACTTCCCCGTTCCATCAGGTCAACCTGATTTTACCTGTGCTTGTACATCTCCTTTCTCTGCTAAAAACTGGTAATATTGGATCAAGTCTTCCTCCAGCATTCCACTTGCCATTCCTGGATTTTCTACTTCATCCGCTAGGCGAATTCGCTGAACCACTGTGCCACCAGTCAAAGAAATGTCGCTAGCAACTGCGGAATGGATGAGGGAACGTTTTAGGCAGCTTTGTTCAGTACAAATATTACAATGCAACTTAGCGAACAGATCTCTACGGAGCTTCCAACTGTTGCTCACAGAGAGAATGAATTACTCTGGCAATCTTTAAGAATGAATGGCATTAAAGGAATTTCAAAAAAGGAAAGGAGTAAAGACATTACAAGTTAACATATGATTCAGCACCAGACACCTAAGTTGTTTAATAGCAGAAGTTTATGTATTTGCACACCGCTCAAGAACATAAGTCTAACAAAAAGTTTTACCATGATTAGCTACAAGTCGGTAGTGAGTGAGAGCAGATTCACAACTCTGAAGGACTCCTATCCCAGCCCAATACCGGTAACCCTAGAAAGCAAGCATAAAAATACAGGACTATTTGTTGTTCTAGCAACATATTACCTGCCAGGTTACAAACATTTTCGCAGTAATATGATTTCAGCAAGATTTGACAAGACAGACAAAAATGACGGTCACAAGGCCATTCTATCTTCATTCAAAGGAACTGGTTGATACCATTAAATGTAAAGAAAAGCCTATATACTTCATATTACTCAGACAAAAGTGAATGAACAGACTGATACTCATGGGTGAAAACCTAAAGGCCCTTTTACTTATACCTGTTGCACTTTAATGTCAGATAAAACAGTCTCTTCAATAAAGATCTCTGGCTTTCAGTTCTTATCAGTCTCCAACAACTAAAGGTTTGATGCTTCAGCTTTTAAGTCAAAAGTAGCATGAGTTTAGTCCATTTCAATCCATGTTTACACAGAGCTAAGTGAGGAGACTTTTCCTTAAGTCAAAAATGACAAATAGGGAAGATACTACCCATCACATGCACGCTGATTTAACATTTGGAAAGTATATTCATATGAATAAAGCCATTGGAATGAACTCTTAAAATAAGATTTTCAAAAGGAAAAAAAGTTCTATGTGTGAGACACTACAAAAGCTTACTTACCAAGATCATATGCGCTATCAGATTTCCTCCTAAAGCTCCAAAAGTGTAATAGACCAGGGCCTTAAAACAAAACCATTGGTTATTTAATATTTGTCTACACAACAAAATACGAGAGCACACACAAAAGACTTGTAAGCTACCTTAGCTTGACTAGAATTGACTCCTAGACCAGATGCATAAAGAAATCCAAGAGCCTAGAAATGAAAAAAAAGTTAATCAGCACATCCTTTGAAAAATCCAGGATTAATTTTGCCTGGAATATATACGTATAAAAAAGTCATACAACAGCTAAAAGCTCTAACGCCACTTTGGTAATTCATGCATCTATGCCCTTTCCTGCCCTTGTTAGAATATGAAGCATCTAAATTATTCACTGTCTAGGGTACTACCGTGACTACACCTTGCCAGAATTCAGTTTATAATGAATATAAGGAAGCACTAACTACTTCCCTGTGTAATTGCAGATCCAAAGGTTATGAGTGTTAAAAATATCCCAGTTTAAAGACACCTCAAGTGAAGATTAGCAACATCTGTCAGGTCATGCATGTATCTTATTTGCCTCACATGCCAGCGTAAGGACACAGGAACCATGACCTTCTCTAGAGCAGTTTTATTGTTTGATTTACTGTCTAAAAAATTCGATGATTTTACTCTTTTACATGGTCTGTTCTGCTGTAAGCTAGTTGCATTTATGACTATAAATATAAGTCGTTAGAATGCCAAGTGCTGTTTGGCTGAGGTTTTCTCAGAAGTTATTTTTATTCTTAATAATTTACATAAATACTGCTCTATCTATACCACTTGTTACAGCTGTGTGGCTCAAAAGAGAAACTAGAATAGATGATACAGTATGCATAAAAACATCTAAAATGCACTACATGCTAAGCCTGTTCTAGGCAATTTTGAAAGTGCAAAAGGAGACCTCATGCAAACCGCAGTGAATTTTAGACCAATAAAACTCAGTCTTTATTGAGCTAAAACTCTTCTATAGAAAGTACATGTTCCTGCTTCTGAATGAAAATTAGCGCTCCAACATTAAGCAGGGAACAGCATGAGGCTCTGAAATCAAATAATTAAAGGCAGGTGAATAATTCCTAGAAAAGTTAACCCTTTCAAAATAATAAATAGACAATAATAGCGCTAAACAATAAGTATACGCAGATGCAGTTTTTGAAATTATATATGAACAATTCTATAATGTTCAAAGATACATGGACAAAAGGAGTTCCATTTCACTGGACAGACGCCAGGATTTCCTGGAAGTTTATAAACTCCTGGGTTATAAACTGAAATATATCTCTGTCTTAGATGGAATTAGAGATGAAAAGTCATAGCATCTGAAATCCCATATAAAGTGCAAAAGACATGATGCAGAGGTTCAAAGAGGATTTGTTGGCTGGAGTCACCTGTATTTATCTGGTTTTGATTTGTATATCCAAACCAGTTAGTCATACAACAGGCAAGAAATTAAGTAACAAGACTATACTATATTACTGGTAGTTCAAGAAGATACCTGTTTCCACAGAAGTGTAATCTATCTTGTGTTTCCCCATGTATTTACTTAGTAACTATACAAATCTAGACCGTTCCTCTACCTAGTTTTTGCCTTTTGTTCCTGCACCCACAATAAAGCTAACACAACATCTCGGGGACTATCTGTGAACCACATCAAGGAAACAATGCAACTAAGAAAAGTAAAGGCAATGAGTAGTCCGATTTAGGAAGGCTCAAGCAAGCATTAGTAACTAAAAACTTTTTCTGAATCAGACACTGAATGAAATGGTTTACATTAAGCTTTCAAACAAATTAAGTAGCCTGCCTGCTGTCATATTTAACCAGGGAACAGATACAGCTAAAAAAGAAAGGCAAGATCTTCCACTTACTGTTCTCAGCTTGTTCTAGAGGCAATAATAATCTATAAAACTGACCTGTCTGAAGATAAGCTTCTGCAGAACTTAAGGACATACAAACCATTTGTCCTCTAGGAGAGCCTTCTTCTGTTAGTTTTTCAAACAGTTCCTTCGATGACTGGATGTTTTGCTTCAGGTAATCCCCAAACAACAACGCATAAGACACTTTCTCCATTGCCTTGGTATGATTCATGTCAGCTGCTTTCAGAAGATACTGATATGCCCTTAAAGAAAAAAGTTTGCTAGTTACCTTTAAGCAAAGAAGCAGATCCCGTTCATAACCCAAAGATCCTAGGAAGGTATTCTGCTCCTGTGTTTTAGCAGCTACTTTCTATGCATGTACCACCTACCTACAGTCATTTCTTCTAGCTGTAAAACGTCTATGCTACTCAATAGTTCATAGGATTTCACTTAACAGACAAAGCAGTTTCATGTTTACTCTATTCCATATGCAAGAGCAATATACTTTTTCTCCCCTAAGATTACTAGAAGTTTACAAAGTCAAATTATCACATTAAGTCCTGTACTACATATCTAGTAGAACCACCGCTCTAACTCTTCCATAGAGTATGATAAATTAGCCTGAAAATGACTACTGAATCTCTGATTTAGTATAAAATCATTTAGATGAGAACACTGACTATTAGGTCCGAGACAACTGTGTATATGACCAATTTTGTGATGAAACAGTCATGTTAACGATGAGAAAGCTCTCTGGAAACATCCTTTTGTTTCAGCCATAGAACTTACTGAAGTTCTCCAAACTAGTTTTACTGTTGTCAGCTTCAACAGCCATTTAAAAAAAATGGTGACCTTATACACCATAACACAGTACTGTTAAGCATGCTTTAAGCTCGACTTCTCATGGACCTTTGAGAGCACATAAACATTTTTCTTTACTACTGTTGCTTTCTATTCTCAGACTTGTTTTCTCTTCCTTATCCCATTCTTTAGAACAAGCTGAAGAAAATCTGGTTCCTCATATGATTTTGTCTAAGATGGCATAAGGTGTTCAAGAGAACTTAGACTTAGGACTTTTAAAAAAATTCCTAGACCATTGTATACAAAAGACGACTGGCCCGGGTTCTATCAGATACTGGCTCCCTTCATCTTTGCCAAGGTGCAATGCATAACCTCTAGCTGTTACGAGTTTCCCTGATACATAAGGTAGGAAAATGCTTCCTGACAAATTTAACATAGGTATAGTAATGTAATCAGTTAACTGTGTTAACTCTTAACTTAGAGTAGTAAGCTGACAACTATTTAATCAGTAATTGGAGACATTACAGAATAGAGAGTAAACAGACCAGAACGAACAGAACACTCACTTCGTTCTTTCTACTCTTTTGGGTTTCTTCTTCCAGGAACTATCCTTCTACTGCATACAATGCTAATTATTACAGTTGTAACAATTTGGGGCAAGTTTAATACTATTTTTATGGTGACTGAGACTATCGCACAACAGGAACAAAAACAAAGCAGAATAAGAAATACTAATCTTTGCCACTTAATCTTTGAAGCAGAATGAGAACTGGAACGTAAGAAACATTTGTAGAAGGACTTAAGAAAAATAGTGACATTTATATATCAACGACCTCCTATCACATTCTTAGATTTTTCTGGGCAGCTGCTACATATACGTCACAGCAAGATAACTGCACCAGTTTGCATTAAGTCAACATTTGGAGCCATCCTACATACTGTTAGAATTCTTGAAATCAGACTTATACAAAGCTTTTAGGAATTCAGAGGAAAGTAGGCATAAATTTGTTTTTCCGATTGCCCCCAAATTACTATTTCCAGCAGCATCATTGCATAACTTGATGCCAAGTCCCAGAAACATCACCAAAAGCTGCAATAGAGCATCTCATTTAAGTTGGCTTTTAGCTAAGCCAAAGTAACAAACCATGTTATCATTGTCTTGTGGGGATGAGGATGGAAGTGATAGACTTACTCTTTCTTCTGAGCCTTTTTACTGCTCTCATTAAGGATTTTCATTCCAGTCTGATAAACTTCCTCAGCCTCTTGCATCTGTCTTCTCTTATTAGACTGCTCTTCAGCTGAAATAAAAAAGAAAGTACATTAAGAGCTCCAATTACACAGCTTCAGGCCATTCTCTCAAAATTCCTCTTCGGCAAATGTAAGTGCAAAAATATAGCCAGAAAAACATTTCTAAAGATCAATACACAGCACAAGAGACTGCAAAAAGTTGTCTGAAACAGCTGTCGGATATCTTTGTAGATAATTTCTTCTCATTCGAACCTTCTCATGTGAGGGTTTGCTGTCAGAATAGTCCTTTCATTGTGCCAAAGCAAACTGTGGAAAGAAAAATCTCCTCCTTCAGGAGGATGTTTCCTAGAAAAGGGTTGCATTTATGGAACAGGTGAATATAGTGGGAAACACTGTCAAACTGCTATATTTGTATAGATTCAGAAAGGAGACATTTAATAGATGCCTCCATTGCAAGATTTCCCAAATAGTAGCATCCGCATTATATTCCATTATTTGCGTCATGAGAACTTTGCTTTTAGTTACTTGCATGCCATTGAACAAGGTAGTCCTTAATACATGACCAGGACTTCTGGATCCTGAAATAAAGATCGACAAGAGGACTGAAAACACTGAGATAAGCATTTGTTAGACATGTACAAAGCTGTACAGATTACTTACTTTCACAGAAGCCCCACTTTTGATCCTTCTTGTAATCATAGGTTGTTGCACACCAAAGCCTGCCATCTTCCCTCCCATCTGCAGTGCACTCTGCATACTCTTTCTCCAGAAACAAAAAGGGGAAGTGGCAAGGTTCACCATCTGCAGTGCCTCCGATAGCTGTTAAAACTGAAAATATATATGCAGGAATAAGACTGCTTTCCTTTATTTCACAAATTAAATCCATCCACTACATACAAGAAAGCACTGGTATGCTGGTCTTTCAATTTGAGACCTGCATTTCCATCATTTTTCAGTAAAATTTCTAATTTATGAAACTGAAAAAAACACTTTCTAAACAGATGTGAGGCTTCTTATATTCCTTAGTTCTAAGCAAAGGAAATATTTTTTGTTAGCCTGGAGAAGGCAGATCTCAGTTGTATTTTTACGGACTATTGCGATAAGCCGCCCTTCCTTTCACTTTCTCTTCTCTACACTCCCTTTCGCATGCAAAAGACTACCAAAGTACACTTCAGTTCATAAACTCTCTCTATCTCCAGATGTAATCATACAACAGAACTACTCACATGGATAAATGTGCTATTGAAAGTACTGGAATATCACCAAGGAGTATATTATTAGGAGGCATAACACAAGGAAAATTTTGACTGAAATCACTATAAGTCAAATCATTTTATATTGCTGCATACACTCATGTTGAAAACTATTTCACTGAGGCAATATATTTAGGTTGCATTGAAAACTAAATCAAGCAGCTAGATTTATCATTTCCATTGCATCAGAACTTGAAAGTTTCCAATATTGCAATGATATTTAACCATATATTTTTTGAAAGGTAATAGAGATTATCTTCATTTTTTGAAAATGAAAATATTTCCATTAGCCTTTGTAAAGGCCTTTCACTAACTACACTAAACCCAAAAGTTGGTTTCAGTATCATTTGAAGACATTTGTGAAGCCATTGCATGGCTTGATTGATAATGTGTTTTTTCTAATCAAGTTCCTAATTCGAGGTTAAAAAGATAGCTCCTTATGCTTCAGAAGCACTGAAGCATAACTTTAGCCCTGTAGAGACTCCAAAACATTCACTGTTGTCGCACAATTTCAAAATTAGTATGATTTATAGGCCTTGCAAGTATAGTCTCCTGGGGAAAAAATATTTTCAGAATTAAACTTGCTCACAAGTTGCTCTTCATAATTTGATTCCTTGGCAGATATTTCCCTCCTCCTTCCAAGTTACTTAAGCTCTTAGTACACAAGGAAAAAGTAATTTTTCAGAAACTACTTTTGAAAATAACGTGACTAGATGCAATTAGCGTGGAACAGTTTTAAACAACTGTTAAATATGGGCCAATACACAGTCATACTAAACATACATTTAACTGCAGTTAAGATGAAACCTCTTATCACTCATCTGAATAGACTCCAGGTCCAAGATATTAATACCACCAAAAACTTGGGATTTTACCTGTATTGTCTAACTCCTCTCTTGTAGCAGAAGAATTTAGACAATGCTCTCCCCATTGGAGTCAGCTGTACACTAAAGCTATAAAATTACTCCTCCCAAGTCTTCCCTCTTTCCTAATTCTAAATTCAGCCATAATGCTTCCTCCCCCTTCACACATAACAGCAACAAATACTAACCCCTAACGAAACAGAACAGTGCTATTACAGGATAAATTGCTGACTGTAGTTATTCTGTGTCCTTAAGGAATGATAAATACATCAGACTAGGCCATATAATTAACTCAAACGATGAATTACTTTTGTCAAAAATTGTGTATGCAAGCAGGGATTTACCTGTCCTGCTATAACTATATCAAGTATATATGGTATTCTGTCATATTGTCCATATATATCCACATCTCACTCAGTTTAGGTTGGAGGATGCCCAACTGCAGATTGATAAGAATTGCATTGCTGAAAGATTTCCCCAAATGGGAAAACAAATACTGGCAGGACTTGCCAGCTTTGTGCAAACTAGCAAGCAGTTTTCAGAAAAAGCTGTAGCAATCAAGTTCCATGCTAACAAAGAAAACCCATAAAATAAGAGCAAGATAAGTCACTAACAAAATACCAGTTTCTTTACACACACGAATCTCTCACTGATGGGAAGAGCACTGACTTACTGACAGGATAAAAGACTCCTTTCCTAAAAGATTAAAAAGCTTTAATCGTATTGATTCTGAATTACTGAAGAGAAAAATCTCTTCTGCTCAATAACCTGCAAAATATAGCTGGAAAATTGAATATTTTCTTCATGCGATCTTGTCACCATACACAGAAACCAAACAGCATTTAGAAAAAAGTTTTAATCTCCCTTAACACAATCCTGTCCCCAGTAGCTCCTTCAAGAGATGCAACGTTTGCATCTGAGGAAGATTCCTGTCCTGCTGCACCA